TAAATGCTATAACAATTCTTTGATCTTTCATTTTCCTTCTTAGTGCAAAATTTGGATGTGTGAAAAATAGAATAATTTTAGGCTAGTTTCTTATTGGATGTTTTAATGAATCTTAAAGAAACTAGCCTAAAATTATTCTATTATTCTTGGTGCAATATTGGAGCCTACAGAGTTCAAAGGGTTAACGTTGGAACTACCGCGTCTCCGATGCGTGTTACATGCAAAAATGAAGTACAATCCTCCTTGAAAAATTCAAATACCATAGAATTATATAGAATCCTATCTATCCCATAAATTTAACACGTTGAATAACTATAGTTCACTCGATTAAATGACAATTGTTTGAAGATATTTCTATATTATAGATAATGCTACCTGATGCGGTGATATTCAGCTGGATGAACATGTAATAATAATAACGCAATTCAATTAAATGATTTAATAGTATGTTCCTTCCATTCTGTGTATTTTGCTCTATAAAATCGTGCGGCATTCAACGTGTTAAGCATCCAATATCTCAACAGTTCAATAGTTCTCAATCCGAAAGCTTGACAAGCTCCAACAGTTCCAAATATTCCCAAAAAATCTCACTACTTCCATTCAACACTCACACACTTCTAATACACCATAAACAACGCTACACTAACACATAAATACCTCCATTCCTTCTCAGCTTCCACAGACTCAACGAATCCTAAATCAAAAATAAAAACCAATCAAACCATCCCGGTCAATCGCATTTCCTCCACGCAAAGAACCTCGCCGGTCCCTTAAAAGCTGACCATAATCCACGCGAAAGAAACATCCGGTAAGCCAAACTGAAACGAAGGTTCCCGTGGAAAGAGAATAATCTCGGTCGCGTCGGAGAGCCAAGAGAGGAGCCAAAGAGGAGCGGTCTCTCTTGTCCAGAATTAGACAGGTGCTCTTCGCGTAAAGCAGCCGAGGCACGCGTAATACCGCCGCAGCGATATTAAAAAGCAGGCGACGAGGAACGGAACGGAAAATTAATCCAAAGTTTCGCGGGGGCCTAGGGGGCACCGTGGATTTTATTATCCGACGGGGCTCGCGGGTCGCGAACGAGCTCCGGGAAATGCAATTCCGCGCGAGATACACCGGAAGTAGGTGGCAGACGGTCGCGAAACGCGTTGTCTCCGCGCCGTACAGAGCCATCCAGGAACGGCGAACGCAATTACCGCCGTTGATGGCGAGTACGCCCGGGAATGGATGCTCGCCGAGTCTCCTGGGTTCACGTGCTAGGTACCCGTGCGCGCCGGGGACAAGTTCTTTACGGTGAATTTTATTAGCTTCGAACGATGATATCCTTATCTCCCGGAGAACTTTATGCGCTGCCGCGGGACAATCAAAGCCCCGTTACGGCCGGTTTTTTCGTGACCGTCGGGCCACCGCAGACGAGTCTGCTCCGGGCAGTTACTTTCGCTGAGCACTCGTCTCTCGCTATCGTTCTTTTATCGCGGCGGTATTGTTATAACTGGGGTCTGCGGGACTTTATGTATCTGCACGGGAATTCGGGGATGGAAATGTGTTGATAGGAATTGGGCTGTGTTGGTTT